AAGAAAATGCAATGAAATATTTTATTGTTGTGAACTTTCTATACATCAAGAGTAGGAATGACAACGATATCAATTTATATCTATTGTTGATCTTATGTATCTATTTATCGTATGGTACATCTAAATACAATACACATGCCTCGGAAATGTATTTTTTATTAATGGATGATAAATTTATGGTTCTCGCTCTCTTACATATATCTTTTAGTTCTTCTACTCTTTAATTGGAATGACAAATACATTTAACATTTAAAATTGGATTGAGATAGGCATGTTTTGTATTATCCGCCACGCCATGCTGTCCCAGACAGACGACCAAACGCGCTTCTAATTTTGAAGAGTTCACTAATGGAAATAGAACGTATTTTCATACATTCCTTGCATTTTCAATCATACCTATTTCATCTTTGAAATCAACTTTACACTCCTTAGATATGTTGCTCCTGAGAAACTGCTGACACTGCTTGCAAATGCCTGTAAAGTTCACATATATTTATTACAAAATACCTATACATGTATATCCATGAGTACTGTTCACCAAGTGCTAATAACAACACAAAGTATATTCACTACTTGCCATATTCTGGTTTTTAAACATATAATTTTGTTGTAACATTATCATTCCATATGCATTCAAACCCACAAGTAAGTTTTACTGTTTAGAGTTTGAATTTGATGCAAAAAAAACCCAATATATTTTGGACAACATAGTTGGGTAGTAATTAGTAAACTTGAACAGAGCAAAAACAAAATGCTGATTCGGATAAAAAATTACCTACCAGTTCCAACTTGTAACGTAGTTCTTGTTTTCAACCAGTACTCATTGCAGAGTGAAGGGTTTGCGCCCCTGTCATCCCTCGACTTCTGCCCGTAATGTTCTGGATATGAACAGAGCGTTTTGCTCCTTCTCCATCTTGTACCAAAGTACTCTCCATGTTTTTGACATATTTTCAAATCTAAAGACTGTGGATCTATTGGGAATATGTCATATCTGTAGAGAATAAGAAGGGCCTTGGGACAATCATAGAACTGCGCGTTCTTCCCTGGTATTCTTTCTGATGAATGTAATCCAGCAAGATGAAAAGAAGTACTTTTATCACACTCATGCAAACTTGAAAGGTTGTTTTCTTCAAATTCTTTCCTGGCACTGCACAAAACGTTGCAGAAATTTGAAAAGTAGCACGGAGAATTGTTGGCCTGACTGGAGGCCGCCATTAGCAAATGTCATTTCTACCTAAAATTTGAAGATTTCCACCAAGGGGAGAAAACTCGTACATTGACCAGCATAAATTGGCGAAAGTATATAAAACAAGTTTTATATAAAAGGATTAGGCTTAAACTGCGAGTAAAAAATACAAAATTCTGCCTAGAATTAATGATAAATTTCATATTTAATTAGATTTACATTCCATACAAAATTTAAGAAAAAAAAAATAATGTTGAAGGATTGTCAATTTTGCTAAAATTGGACGTATTTTTTTGTGTTAATAGCAAAGCTCATGGTATTAGGCCAAGGACAGATTTTTTATATTTTGTACTTCAGTAAAAATACTTTTTAAAATATGTGAGACTAATAACATGAAGAGTCCCCCAAATTTACTATTTCATATAAAATTTATACTAATTTCAGAAAAATCATTATTCGCATCAAGATATGCATTTTAATTTTTTTGTTAAAAATAATGTAATGGGATCTAAGGCAAAAATTCAATTTTGTTTTAGACAAAATTAACTGTTCTTTGAAATTATAATATAATTTACACTTATGATATCTAATTTGATAATTTTACACCTGGTTGAAAAATAGATGTTTTTGCACATTTGAAAGAGTTCTCCAGAGATTTGTTTGACCATTTATATGTTAACCAAACTGTTGAAAAAAAATAAAAGTTCATTTGAGAAAAAGGGTAACATTTTTAAATATCAACTATCATTTATTTAAAAAATGTATGCAAGAAAGTGTTTCCAAACATTGAGTTTCGGACAATTTTTGGAAAATTGCATGGTTTTCTCAGAGACGTGCTGTTAAGAGTGAAGTTCTCATTATTAAAATTTATAAAATTATGATGAATAAAACTATTCTAAGGAAAATTTTCTCGGCAGAAATTATTCTGTTATTTAAAAAAAAAAAACAATGTGGTATTGGTTGGGTTCGAACCCTTATCAATAAAAAGCCGAATAATTTTTCCTAGAGAACAACACATTAACCACCACGCTGCTCAGCTCTTAGTGAATAGTGGAAATTTAAATCTTCTTTGTGATATGACCGTTGATTAAATATCAAGTATTATTTGGAAAGGTGCGAATGTTGTATCATAAAAATGTATTTCTAAGGCATAGTGGGTCTTTGTTATATTCTTACGCAAAATTTGAATACAAACTCAAAAAAAAAAAAATGGAGATAAGATCCACTCAAATCGACAAAATGTTATACTACGAGAAAATGATCCTCTTTGCCCTCTTTAGTCTATGCATGCTATTTCATAGGCAAATATTTTCAATCTTTTAAAAAAAATTTTCACCTTCATGTTTGTTGCACTATAGGCATTCTGCGCGCTTTGTTCACCCATCTCCTGTAGCATTTACAAATTTCCTGAAAGGGGTCCCAATTTACCAAGCCTGATGTTTAGGCTGTTTAAATTCTGGCTATGTTTTAAGAATAGGAGAAATGATTTGAGGATTTTTTTTTGCCATTTATCAGCAATGCAATTTAATATTAAATAAAGAAAATTATTGCAGGTGCTTTAATGATATATCCTTAAATTGTTAGTCAGGTGAGAAATTTCGTTTTTTATTCAGGGGTTACACAAACAATATTATTTCTAACATTTTTTTTAAAATAACAAATACGAATAGTACAGACATGCATGAAAATACTCACAATGATTCTAATGATCTTTCTTCCGATACCTTTATATTCTTATATCAGAGACACTTTTATCCCTGCTTAACTGGTGCTTTCAATATATTCGCTGAATAAGATTTCTTTTATTATAAAAAGGTCAGCAAGTTATTGAATATTTAAAATACACATGAAAGTTTTCGCCATCAATTCATACCAGTTGTATTTAAGCATTTCATCCGAGTATTTTAATGTTTTCACTTTGATTTTGTTTTTCTGTAAAATTTTTTGATCCACAATTTGGCTGATCTAATCAATGCCATGTTAAGTGCATTTGATACATGCACGCTGACCATCATTTAAGCAATAGCCTAGATAACTACACGTATTTTGAAGGCCCACCACTACCCTTGCGATTCTTTCTCTATGACTTTTCATAATTCCTGAATAGTGTTTTCAAAGATGGTCTGTTTAAATTATTTGATAAGACAGATCCCTCATTCTTAGAAGTTTTGTTTACATCTCTATATTTAAAAATTGTGTCATTTTCCAGACCACCAGCTTAATAAAGGCAGCTTACACTGGGGCTTCATATCCGTGTTTCAAACGTAATGTGTCATCTCAAGAGCGAGATGTCAATGACCAATGAGGGTCGCAAACGAAACATCTCTTTTTTTGTTATCCATCATGGAATCAATCATGGAAATGATAAAATAAAGAAGTCTTCAACAATTTGATATGTTCTGATTTTTCTCTAGATTTGAATTTGAATACTAAATTTAAATTCGTCCCATAAAAATGTACGAGGGGTGATCAAAAAGTTCGCGAAATAATTGAATTACTTCCATAAAAGAAATGAAATTAGGTTTCAGTGTTCCTTATTTTTTAACGTTTTCCTCTCCGATTTAAATCACATATGTCACCGTTCTGACCATACGCGAATCACGTGATATAGGCGGTCACGTGACATGCTCCGTAGCGTTCTGTTCACAGAAGCTAAAAGATTTTTCCGAGTCTTATATTTCTTACCATGCAAGTTATTCTTTATAACAAGAACAATCCATTTGTCAGGAATTGCCAAATCTCAGCAATAGGATGGATAAGGATATCCTTTCCCAAAATGAGCATGGTGACCATCAGAACCCGAGTCCTCCGTCTTGGAAGCGTTGTTTATCCATCGTGGATAAAGTATGGGCGCCTTCTTTTTATCATATCTGATATGTTTAAAGTCTAAATAAAACGAAATTTTAGGGATTTAATAATTATATTATTGTTAAGATATTCAACTATTTTTCTAACTGTAACTTGGCAATCTTTTATAACAATTTGCTCAACTAAGGACACATCTCTTCCCCAGCTTGCTTTCATTTGGCAACAGAACAATCATCATTTTTAACCATCTCCCTTACTTCACTAAAACAATCAATCCACTTAATGGTTGAACTTCTAGTAAGTCTTTATTCTTCATAAACCTTTAAATAATACATAAAACTTGGAGCGGCCAATTACCGCCCCCGATGTAACACTCCTTTCAACAAAATAGCAAGTTATTATAGGATGGACATAAAATTTGGAGCGGCCAATTACCGCCCCCGAAACAACACTCCTTTCAACAAAATACTAGTAAATAATACATAAAACTTGGAGCGGCCAATTACCGCTTCCGATGTAACACTCCTTTCAACAAAATAGCAAGTTATTATATGATGGACATAAAATTTGGAGCGGCCAATTACCGCCCCCGATGTAACACTCCTTTCAATAAAATACTAGTAAATAATACATAAAACTTGGAGCGGCCAATTACCGCCCCCGAAACAACACTCCTTTCACCAAAATACTAGTAAATAATACATAAAATTTGGAGCGGCTAATTACCGCCCCCGATGTAACACTCCTTTCAACAAAATACTGGTATATAATACAAAAAACTTGGAGCGGCCAATTACCGCCCCCAATACAACACTCCTTTCAACAAAATACTAGTAAATAATACATAAAACTTGGAGCGGCCAATTACCACCCCCGATATAACACTCCTTTTGACTAAATAGTAATAATATGATTTACATAAACATGGAAAGTCCAATTACTGCAACTGACATAACATAATAGTAACAAAACTTAAACTATGAAAACACATGTACTCATTAAAATTTCAGCTCTCATTACATTGTGCAAAGTAATTGTTCAAACTGTTAATAATTCTTTGGGATTTCGTAACTCTCACCGAGTTTCCAGTTTTTTCCTGACACAACTTAGATATACCATTCACGGTATCAGGATTAAATGCCATCTGCAAATGATTGTAGAGAAGGCCACTTCCATCAATCTTTCTGGCAATGCCCTGGCTGATGATTTTTCCTGCAACTAGGGGCTGGAGAGAAGGCAAATTTGTTCTAATTTGGCATGAGTAGAAGTAGGAGGCTATTACGCTTTGAACAGTGATTGATGACCTTCTGACGTCAGTGCTATCCAGAACACTGGGTGTGAAATAGCTCTGAACTAGGGATTTCAAAGCCGCCACATCATCTACAGCATTGTGTGCAGAGTAGACTATATCTGAAAGACACTCACAAAGGTTTTCCTGTCGATAAGATGGTAATCCAGGTTTCACAAGTTTGAAGAGTTTCAGAGTGTCCACAAAACCATCCACTACTTCTGAAAATTCAGTTATTTTGTTGCATGCACGTAAAGCATGCGTAAGAACAGCATGCATAAGAACGGGACAGTCAAATGACTGGATGTTATGTCCAAACAAAACCAATTTTTTACCAAATCGATTACAAAAACTATGTAAGCTGTCAATAGCTGCAGAAATTGATACTGCATCTTTTTCCTTTTCAAAGTGGAATAATTTTCCATTCTTTACACTTATTCCAGTCACTTTCTCTGCCTCTTTTGATACTGGTTTCTTTGGAAGAACATACACTTGAAACTTTTCTTCCTCTTCCAGAAATGCCAACTGAGTTATGTGACATGTTCTATCTGAAATATTAGATGGATAATTAATACACAAATCAACCAAAATCATACAAAGTATTGAAAAGTTCTCTTTACCTTGGTAAAATGACATGTAGATTGCCAATTTAAATCTTGATTTTTGAGTAATTAATTCATGAAGCCAATTACAATCCTAAATACAACAGTTATGAATATAAGTGTCCTAGATTTATATGCTATTATAAATTTCATTACTGTAAAATTTTTCATACTTGTGATGATGAGATGTTGAAAGTAACAGTCCTTAAATTGATATAAGTTCAAGCTTTGTGGCAATGCACTTTGAAAAAAATTTTCACAGTGCGATAAAATTGGGACAAAATCAACGCACTTTGAAAAATTTTTTCAAAGTGTGTTAAAGAATGAAAGCGCGCAAGGCGCGGACAATCCCCCGCTCTGAGAGAAGACATTTTTCAATTCTAACTGTTCATAAAAAGTAATATTTTTCAAAAATTATATAGTCAATATAATCTTGTACACATTTGCTTCCTATATTTTGTTTAATAAATTATTGACAAATAATTTATTTTTCACCAGTTTTTTTAAGATATGTGAAAAAGAAAACAATAGCTTCACGCATGATTTGAACTCTCGCCAAAGCTCGCGGTTAGGAGTAAGACTGAACGCGTTAACCACTACGCTACGAAGACTGCTTGTACTGTTTAGTGTCAGTGTGATTTAAATAAACAAGTTTGTTGAAGCGTAACTTTTTTTTTCCAGAAATGTTCAATTTTCATATAGAATGGGTTCAGACTCCATTTTTTTGAAACATGAAATAGATTTTACATTCACTTTCCCGTCAAATAAATGTTAATGAAGAATGGAGACTTGACCCATTCATATTCAAAAATCATTTTTTATGGCTCTAATAAACCCATTTTCCACTAAATATGCTTTACTGTCAAATTTAGAAACAAATTATCAATCAAAAAGCCATTCAATAAAATAACTGAATCAAATGTGTTGAGAATGACATTACTGAAAACATTATTTTTAGAAAAATATAACTTTTCCGTGAACTTTGAAAATTGAGAAATATATTCTCCCAGAGCTGGGGATTGACCTCGCCTTGTACGCCCCCTTTCTTTGGAGCAAAATCAACGCACCTTGAAATTTTTTTTTTCAAACTGCGTTCAGAGTTTTACCATGGAGACACTAAATGCACTTTGAAAAAATATGTATAAAACCCAAATTCTGGACTTAGATTTTAGTGATAGACAGCAATAATTTGTTATATTTCTTCTGAAAAACTGATGAACTGATCTACCCTCATCTTGAGTAGATTTTTAAAGAATTTTCCTATATATTCCTATGTAAAACTTTGATCCCTCATTGTTGATTCCATATCAATATGACTATGATTTCAACAAACTTGAATCTACACTACCTGAGGATGATTCCAAATCAGTATGACTAATTGTGGCTTTGTTGTTCTTGAGAAGAAGATTTTTAAACAATTTTCCTATATATTCCTATGTAAAACTTTGATCCCTCAATGTGGCCCCCATCCTACCCCCCGGGGGTCATGATTTGAACAAATTTGAATCTACACTATGTAATGAAGGTTTCACATAAGTTTCAACTTTTCTGGCCCAATGGTTCTTGACAAAAAGATTTTTAAAAGATGACGCCAAATTTTCACCAATTCTTTATTATCTCCCCTTGGAAGAGGGTGTGGCCCTTCTTTTGAAAAAATTTAAACCCCCTTCACCTAAGGATGCTTTGTGGCAAGTTTGGTTGAAATCGGCTCAGTGGTTCTGGAGAAGAAGTCGAAAATGTGAAAAGTTTACAGACGGACAGACAGATGGACAAAATGTGATCAGAAAAGCTCACTTGAGCTTTCAGCTCAGGTGAGCTAAAAACCTGAACATTTGAAGATTATAATATATAAGTACCCAAGCCAGTTGTTTCCAAGTCAAAGTAAACAGGTAAATGGGTTTCTGCACTGAAGTTCACTATTTCTGGTTCTGGCCGAATGCATGGTTTTGGAATACTAGCAAGAATTGTATCAGTTTGCTGACGTAATCCAATCTCAGATGAATATGTGGGGCCTTCCCTGTTTTCTTGACAGGCAATCCTCTGCAATTTAAAAAAAAATAACATGATTGTAATACACTGTAGACAAGAGTTTCCATAAGACATCACCTAAGAAATGAATCTACTTTTTGAGAATTCATGAGGTACATAAACTACAACGCTTCACCCCTTCATATTATCAAGATACATGTATATATACATTATTTTTCTGACAACTTGCCACAAATTTATGTCATCCAACAATCATTTCTGCAACAAAACAGTTTGAACTATATATAGTTTTGACATCAAGTATGGTACAGTGCTCTAATTGGTGAAAAATTTAGTTGCCATGGCGCCTAAAAATTTTGGTTGGCGTCTAAAATGTCTCTATAAATCACCAAGATTTTAGATTGACTTGGCGATCATCAAATTCCAGAACTAAAAACATTTTCAACATTTTTTTTTATGAAGAGGCGAAAAGAAATTTTCAAAGTTGAGACTATCATTATTTAGCAATGGACATATCTTGTGTTTTCTTTGTAACCTTGTTTGTTTTTACAGTGCATGTGCAAATGAAATTTCGCATTGCGTCAGTGCACACAGAGCTCAGGTGACCAGATAAAACAATAAGCTGCCTCAGGTAATTTTTGATTCCAGAAAATTGACAATTTTGAAACACAGTAAATTGGATGGGTGATGTGGTCAACTGTTTTTCAATTAAATTCTCACTCATTAGAGATATCATTTAGACATTAATGTTAGGACATAATTGTATGTACGAGCACGAAATGTAAATCATGTATACAATTGTTGATATTATTAGTTTTAAAGAATATTTCATAAGGTCCAAGTTTCTTAAAAAGACTCCTGACAGTGGTTGAGATGACGGAGTTTTACAAGCATGCTTAAGTTAAAACCTTTTGGAATTTAGCTGGTTTATATTAATTTGTTGTTGATTTTTACTATAGTTACAATCGCATTAGATCCATCCCCCACACCCGCCGTGTCGCACCAATAAGTTCGTATATTGACTAATATTAGCTTTTAAAATTGGCGCCTAAGTAAAATATGCCTGGCGACTAAAAATTTGTATTGGTGACTAAATATTTTTTTTATTAGGAGCCAGCTGGCACCTAACTTTTAGAGGTCTTTTAGAGGCAAATGGTATTATGACGTCAAAATGGAGATATTCTTGCTCACTCATGGTAGTTCACATGAACATGAATTTTTTCTAATTTGCAAAGAATATTAAGGGTTAGGGATAAATACTTGGTAATGTAAATATAATATAATCCACTGGGTGGGTTAAAATCTTTATAACAGTTGATCATTTATAGAGAAATTTTGATCAGAACTCTTTACCAGTGTCATGAAATTGACAATTATGGAAGAAGCCTTCCTACTCTACATGATACGTGTCTCAAGTCAATACCTTAATGTATTCTCATTGAGCATGTTATATCAAATTACCTCTGGGCTTTCAGATTCATTCTCCTTCTTTTTGCTTTTACGGTGTTGGCAATGGCTTTTCGCTTTCGGTGCTGTAAATCCCTCAGTACAGCTAATTTATGAGTGAAGGTGCCAGGGGATAAGCCTGCTCTAATGTTAACCTGTAATAAAATAAGATAATTATATGACTTATTTGAAAGGTGGAAAATGACAAATTTTCAACAAAAATGATATTTACACTCAAGCTTACAAAAATGTTTTTGGTACCTTGGCTACATAAGAGTGTCCAATGTTCTTTTGTGCTACTCCGGCAGCAACTCGGTACCCCAGACATGCTGAACCACTGAAATGACATCGCTTGGGAGCTTTGGAGGCAATGGTCATGTTAAGCGACTCATTAGCTTGAGTTGACCCCATGTGAGCTAGCTTCTTGCTGATCCCTTTATATCTGGTAAAAAGATCTAACAAAGAACTCTGTAACTTTGAGTCAGAAAGACACTTTCCATAGGGTAGTGACTTATAGTTCATATTGGGATTTTCACGATGGCTACACCAATCCCCACATGAAGAATGGTCCCCAAATGGGTGTTTATACATGGCATCAAGACCAGTTGAAATCCCATCCTCATTTCCAACATTTTGAGCAACCATGTAGTTCCAGCACTTTTGAATATATTTTATAATTTTAGTGGTGAGAGACTTGTGTACCTTTTGCAAAGCGTAGAGCTGATTTGCAAGATTTTTCTTGAGATGGTTCCTGTCTGATTGCTTTTCTATTGTGGGATCAACAAAGCTCAAGGCATGCATGGACCTTTAATTGAATGATCTAATAAAGTGCCCCGCCACAGCATGATATTTACATTACATATGTATTTTGCATATAAAGTGTGTGGAAATCTATGGCATTCGAAACATCATAACACAGAAAGGGGGTTAAAAGGTTAAAGCATGCGTTTTATTTTGACGTCACAATTGTTGATCGCCGAGGAAGTACAACGTCATAAGTGAAAATCAAAAATCACGCTCACATTGACCAGAAGCTGTTACATTGGCTCTTATATTTACTGTAGCTTACAAAAGGATAATACGTGGGTTTTGAAATATAAATCACATTTGCAGTCAAGGCAGAGAGTTAAAAAATGTAAATATAAGTAATGAATCATTATTTTTTGAAAGATATAGTCTCATAACTGCAACGGTGTGCATATTTGACGCGCTAACGCGCATTACTCAATTTGTTTGCACACACCGTTGCAGTTATGAGACTATATCTTTCAAAAAATAATGATTCATTGCTTAAATACGCCCATCAAATATTGTTCAATTGTCATAAACAGTTTAGAGTGCAAGAAAATCATGTCAACCTTGTTACAAGGATTTCAATGATTTTTCCATTCCTTATAATATTTGTTTATACATCTCCTGTAGTGTAGGCTTTAATTATAACAAATATTACATTAAAGATCCTCAACTGGTTGTGTTACAGCTTGACAAATGCTCATCTGCCCCCCCCCCCCCCCCGCGCTTTCAGATTTGTGAGACGGGCGTATAAAAATAAATACAGGTCAACTGATCTGGAGGCAATAAATTTAAAAATTTGGATGTCCATGAAGCAAATGTTTCCTAAGGTAATAGAGAAGATGTTTATCATAGCATAGTAATTTGATCTTGAACTTGGACCTTGTGAACTTATATAATCAATGTTGTCCTCAACCCCAATCAATATTTATATATTATTATACCTCACTATAATTATTCTATACAAAGCTTTATCTAATTGGTTATCTAATTGGTTGTAGATTATCACATGACAGGGCTATAAAACTTCATATTTCCCTGTCATCTTCATGCTGTTCATCATATTCAACCTCTTCGGAAACCTAGTGCATTTTCCCGCAATAGTTATCGTTCATTGAATGAAAACTCCCGAGAGTAGTTGACATCACAACAGCCTGATTCAAGTCACAAAATTTCTGATTGTTTCATCTGAGTGTATAATTTGTCCAAGGGACTTCTGTAAATTGTTTCAGTAACTTTATGCTAAAATTGAAAGTGAATTTGAGAGGGGTGCTGAATTTGAAAGTTTATGTTTAATTTTAAAGTTTTTGCTTGTTTCTGTATAATAAACAATTGTTATTGCATGATCGTGAGGGAAATATAAAGATTTATTCAGCCAAGTAAAAAATCATATTCCCCAAAGGGCTAAATGTATAATATTGCAATGGTTGAATTATGTCATGGTTTCACAGTTCTATGCGCAGAGATTTCCCTTGAGAAGTTTACAGAAAAATTTACAGATGGATGGACAAATGGGCAGACAGAGTGATTACTATAGGACACCCAAAAATTCTAACAGGGGCCTAATTATGGTTTTATTGTTTTGTCATATAAATTGACAACAGATTTCAATACCTTCCCAATTTTTCTGACAAACGTGGGGCCTTGCTGGCAGGTTTTCCTTTGCAGCATGTGCACATATACGACATGACTTTATTCTACAGCTCCAATCTAGCACTTTTCCAGTCTTTGCTCCTATCATAGTTGCATGTCCTAAATGACAAAATAATTACAAGATGAAGATAACAAACAGTGATCAATCTATAAAAATCTACAAACAAAACAACTGGCATAAAACAGGGACCCCTGGAAATTCCAGAGATGGGAGCAATAATATATTTTATCACATTTTACCCCTTCTACATTCATCCAATGTGTATCCCCTGTTTAAACATACATTTCTTTTATACAACTGCCCCATCGTAACTCCAAAGAGTCTATGAATCGAGACAATATGGGGATGTTATAAATATGACTACATGTAGCATAGCCTTGAAGTTATGGAGAAGAAATTTTTTTATCTGTATACTTGCATTTCTTAAAATTTGATCCTGATTTTAGTCAATTTCTTACTCAAGTCCACATGAAATTTACTCTTTCTTGATTCAGTTATTCTTGAGCATGATAAGAAGATTTTAAAAGTTTTTTCATATATATTCCAATGTAAAACTAATCGATCCCTCATTCTGGCCCCATCCTATTCCTGGGGGTCATGCTTTGAACAATTTGTACATGGTCTTCTGCTATGAAACAGATTCAAAAAGACCTTAACACAAACTACCTACATAATTATATATGTAGGTATTAGTAAATATACTTACCAGATAAACTGTTGTAAGCTTTTCCACTACCTCTCCTCTACCAGCCCGCATCAACAGAAGCAGAAATTTCTCTCTCACCATCCATTTTCCTTCATAAAAATATATATATGACATATTATAACTGTAAAAATTTTCACACAAGATCACAGTTAAACACCCCTCTCACAAATAATCCGAGGAGCCGTTATTTGTGGTCCTGTTATGTTATCAATTTGCAAGAAAGTACATACATACATATAAAATTTATGCTAATTCCAAAGACAATAGTTTGGTAATTAATTCATTGATAATTCATAATTAATTATTAAGGACATTAGAAAATTTTGCAAATGAATGCCTATTAAGCTGTACAATACAAAATCAGCAAAAGCTGAACAAGAATGAAATTCCTAAAAACTACATGTATTAATTAATGAAAAATGAGGGTCTATGTGTAATACCGTAAACTTCATACATGTAGTCAGTATATTTACAAGGTGGTAAATGTAATTCATACACATGTATGTCATTCAACATAAAAATCATTTGCAATCCCTATGACAAGAAATGATTTAAATCTGGTGTTTTATTCCTGATATTTTATAAAAAATTCATTACGTTTCTGTTAGTAAGCTCTCTTCTTCTAAACTTTGTTTAGTCGAGTCTGCTGCAATAGCTTCTATAACTGGACCAACCTCTGCCTGCCTGCTGGCAACCATCTTATGGTGAATCGGATGTATATTAAGTGCTCCCAAAATGCTATTAAATTGGGTAACTCCTCCACCCGCATGGATCATTACTGTAAATAAATGTCAACAGTATATGTACATGTATTACTTTTAACTGATGAATAAAAAAACCTAAAGAAAAAATAATTATACTCTATTGGATCATTAATCAAATATCATTGTATACCAGTGATTCTGTTAATAACTGTTTTATTATATGACAGACAGATGGATGGACATGATAGCCATAACATATAATATGTCGTGTCATAGATGGTCATGTCATAGATGGTCGTATAAAAAAAAGGAGGGACCAGCCTTTCAATGAACATACATACCAAATAAAAAAAATTAACCTTCAGAAAAAAAGGTTTGGGAGGGGGCAAGGCACCCTGCAACCCTCCCCCCCCACAGGTGCCTGAATGTGCACCTGAATTAACTTTTAAGAATTATTTGTTTCAATTAGGAAGTTCCTGATGTATTGTTAGTCCAATGCAGTAAAAATAAATATAGAATCTTCCATGGTGTGTGGTTGGATATGATTTTATATCAAAACAAGTTGTGTGATTTGATCCCCAAGCCCTGACAAGGGAATAAAAACACACAACAGTTGGATAAAAAGCCATATCTAACCACAATCCTTGGGACATTCTTCATATGTTTTATACATATATAATTATAGCTATATTTCATGTTTTTCACTGCTTTTTATATGCATTTAAGCCAATCTAAGACCTAGGAATTATTCAATCATATAATAAAAAATAACATCTCACCAGTTCCAAGTTTTGAATTTACATCCCAAGTTCTTGAAGGATGAACTCCATGCCTCTTTCCTGTTGGGACATTATTCACGTAGTTGCAATTAGAATTACTACATGGAATCTGAAAAATTTAAAAACATTCTCACAATGTTTGACTCTCTCAATTCAAGCAACTAGCTTGGCTGTAAAAATGAACAGCAAACCCTACCTTCAGTTTTTGATTCTAAGGTCATAGAAAATTTGGATTTATTTACCTCCTTATTCTGGGTTTTGTGTGCTACATTACTCTAGTTTTTGGGATGGACATATGAAAATATGGATTTAAAATCAATATACCTGTATATGATACTATAACAGGGACTTTTTAAAATAAAGTTTGACACAATTTATTTTCAATAAAAACAAGCAGCTGGCATATTAAGAATGTGATAGTGTATAAAAAAATATTCCCCATTGAAGAAACATTTCTTTAAAGGGGAGGGGGGATGACTGTGCATATTGTTGATTTGTACATAATTGATGTCTGTGACAATTATTATGCACCAACCCTCACTGCACATAATGACGTTCATAAACTTATAATTTTACTGGCTGAAAAATTATACAATAAGCATGTACATACTGTCACTGATGACATTTATGTGCACATATTGTCGACCAATGGTTATAAGGATTCTTGAAGATTTTTTGTGTGTTAATTTTGTGAATGTAAATTGGAGTGTAACTCAGACAGACGTGTCTATTTCATGCAATGCTATTGCAACAGTACATATTTTCATCCTGTACGTGTTGTTGGCAGTTGCTGGCGAAAATGTGTACCAACCCTCACTGCACATATCCCCCCCCCCCCCAGTTGTAATATGCATGCAATGGACCAAATACTTTTTAAAAAGTGTTGGGATCGATCTATGATCAGTATAAAAAATATATATCTAAATGTTTGGTTAGGCCAAACAAAAAAATATGGGTTCCGGTTACACTTCCAAAATATTTAGGGTAGGTAGGTAGGGAATTTTTTTTTTTTTAACAAAATGATTTTCTTAATTTTTTCTAAATAATACCTATCACTGCTTTGCAAATGGCATTTAGATGTGGTGTGATAATATACTAGTCAATATTGGTAGGGGACACCTACATGTCAGCTTGCTTTGGATTTAACACTATAAAACACTTGCACT